AACCAACGTGTGTGACTTCAGACACAATTCTGAGGAATTGATTCTTTTTGTAATAACAGTTAAGGTAGTATGCCAAACTTCTTGAGGAGTAACATGTTTTTTAGCGCTTTTCTGGAATGTATTTTACTGCACAGGCATCTGCAGGACTCGGCGTGAAATATAATATACAAAAGCTCGATGAAAGTAAAATTATCGGTTCATGTATAATGAATGGGTATCGTCCGATTATCCTCTGGTCAAATAAAGTTATGTTTAATCTTATCTGGAAACAATAATTGTGCGCTGGCCAATGCAGCTCTTGCAGGTAGTAAATACGTCGTAAAAATTTTCCTTTACACAGTGAAAATTGACTATATGCCAGCCAACGAAATCACGTGTCTGTCTCTCACCAGCTGAGCAGTAGGTATCCATCCACTTGGTAACTCGACGAGCTATAGCCTCCGGAATTTAGCCCCTCGATTTTTCTCCTTTCATCCCGTCTACCTCCCTCAGTTTTTCATTAGACCGCAGTACTCGTATCGGCCCATTACGCGAGTGCACGAGACATTATTGATACTTGGAATTTTACTTTTTTTCTCTCCTTCCTCCTTTCTTTTTTACCCAACGCGCGTATTGTACACATGTGCACGTTACGCAAGAACTTCAAAGATGTAAGAAGTTGTCGTGTTTTTTAGCGAAATGGCTGGACACCTTACGCAAGACCCACTACAAAAGAATACCACCAGAAGGTATTATTTGTTGGCAAGTCAATCGAGGTTTTGTTTGCTGCTTGTTTTCTGAAAATGTACGAATATTTACGGGCAATGACTGCAGCTTCTGCTTCTGAGATGGTATTTCACTCTACAGATGCAGCATCGGAAGCAAGATTTTTTGTTTTTGGTTTTCTCTTGTTAGTAATACCCGATACAGTTACACGTAATGAAATCATTACGGTGAAGGTGATAAATGTCTCAAATAACCATCGCGAATCGTATGAGAGGACTATCTTCAAGTGACCAACAGATGTAGGAAAAGAAAAGGAAAAAATCATGTAGAAATGAAATATCACCAAGGCCTGACCACAATGTCCCAGGAATTTCTCGTCGAAACCATGTTTAACCGACAATCTTCATCCCAGTTCGATGCCCTCCGCTCATAACCACACGTACAATGGGATCTGCATTCACTGTGTCCGTTCAACTCACCAACACAGTCATATCCACGTGGCCAACGCGTTATAACGTAGGAAGAAGATGCCAAACAAATGGCCTATTCCGCAAACAAGCAACTCACGTGTCGCAGCTTCATAGCCATACCACCAGCTCCGTTGCATCACCCCATAGTCCTTTTGCATCTGCCAGACACCGATTTGTGAAGGCGCGTCGTTTTCTGATGGATATCGGGGCGCGACAGGTATGCGCTGAGGAGTTTTGCGTCTCTTTTTGACAAAGTCTTCCTTCACCCCTTGGAAGTTTTTGTTCGGAGGGCACGTGTGTGAGATGGTGACTGATCGAGTTTGTTGGACCGTGAAGGGAGGGTAGGGCATTTTGGGCTTATCATGGGTAAGACAAATGTTTATTTCGAGCGAATTTACGGCCATCGTTATTGGATGTCAGTGTGTAGTCTCATCGGCTGGTCATGTGTTGCGTGTTGGAAATATTTTTACTTGGCGGTGAAATGAGGGATTATTTGGGTGTTGACATACTCTTCTAATAAAAATAAATAGCAAATATACATTACGCAAGTCTCAGAGATGAATGTTTTGATTTATTAGTCGAAAATCAGAGTAGGCTCTACTATATTTTCTGCGTGCAAGCCCACATACAAGTGTTTTTTACTTAACATTTATGCTCTAATGTAGCCTCTTGCCTACGATGATTAGTAAATCAATGAGATATATATTATATATCAAATTTAACAATAAGAGACACCATTAACTTTTGAATAATCGTACATTCGTGTGATGTTCATAAATTTTTTATGCAAATGATGGTGATAAAAATATGTAAAATTGTTCGATGATACATAAATATCGATGACATAATGCTTTTGATAATAGGATGGTTTACCAAAAAACAAATTATGCTGTCTATCTATTTTGACTTCGGATCATCTTATTTATGGTAGGCTTTTATTATTTATTCATTATGTACATTGAATTATAAAATAGTCAATTTAATACGTACAATCGCAAGTGCACATATATGACGGTGCTCAGCGTGATATATATATATATATCGATTGAGTTGTGTTTTTAACATAGTTTAGAAGTTGCTGTACATAATAACTCATGAAGCTCTTTTTATAATACTATAAAACTAAGAAATAATAAAAAAGACAAAACATTGTTATATACTCCGCGAAAATAGCATCAGCTAACTTTTTTATAAGACTTATTTTCTTTAACTTTAATAAAGATTACATTTAACTCACTACACTATGGATTTTTTTACAGTTTAATCTAGTTTAAAGCTGATATCTTCATAGTCATAACTTGTCATTAAATTTCTTATTTATTTCCGATAGTTTTTGAAGAACATGCCCATACACCCAGTTATCAGCGTCAGTGGCTCGTAAAAAGTCGATGTGATTGAATTGTGTATCGTTTATTTTGTATATGCCCAGTTTGTTTGATGTCTCGTTGTAAAACCGATGCGCATCCTTGACAAAAATATAATAAAAGTTATGATAAAGGGAATCTCCATATTTGTGGATCATAAGTTAGAGTAACTTAGGGAACATAAAATATAATATACCTCCTCGCCAACGAAGTTGTCGTTTTCCGACCAATAAACAGCTACAGGTACTTTAATTTTGGAGATGTCGTATCTTGGAGGTTGGCTTGATGTATATTTAAATTGGTTTCCTAAGTAGCCATAATCAAACTTATGAAAAGGTCTTCCGCTCGCTTGCTGGAGCATATGGACAAACAGCTTAATTGAAGTGCCTGATGGAATGTTGCTAAAAATTTCATGTATGATACGCTAGAAGAAATAACACAAAAAATGACTTTTTGAAGTTTGTCAAAAATGTATTATTGCGCACAAATTATTTACCTTTTTTGGTTGGAATCCGAAAATTGAGACACCGCCACATACCGGACCATTTAGTAGTGGGTTATGACATACTAACTTGGTAAAATCATCGAAGAAATCACTCTGTGGTAGAAATTCGTATACCTTGCTGTATTTCGAGAGTTTCTGTGAATCATGACTCGAGTAAAGTCTTTTGTTAAACAATTTCCATTCTTAACATATCTCCAAAGACGACAGTATTTTTCAAATATGTTACACTATATATTTGAACTCGTATTTGAACACATGTTTTAATGTACTTACCCAAATTGTTGGCCATAAGAAAGCGACTAATTTACCCCGTGATTTCATATTATTAATATAAGTCGCAGGTGCAAGATGAATTGCTGCTTTCACCTTCTTGGCGATCTCGGGCTTTTCAATTGCCATCACGGAGAACATGGTGGAACCCATAGAGTAGCCGATATAAAACATGTCTTGGCCTGTTTCATTCCGTATATAATTTATAATGGCTGGTACATCGTATTCCCCCATTTCCTGCCAACTATAAGCAAAAGTATGTGTATGTTTGTGAAAACATCAAATGTTGAAATTACATCTCCCACATAAAATCGTAACAAATTATATTTCTTTAGATATTTAATATAAGATGCAAACAACATTTTTTCTTGCAATTTAAAACCACTGGGTTAAACAAAAAATTTTTTAAACATTATAATGATAATTTTCCAAGTTTAGCATTTCTATATACAATTACGTTTTTTACCAACCAATGAGTTTATGAAAGTTTAGAATACTTTGACTGGCCGATTATGAAGTCATCCACTTTATGATATAACGTATCTTCAAGTATGCAATGTTATGCAATTCGTATTCGTAAATAACTTATCATCATTATGTCATTACGTTGGATTTTATGCAAAAAAAAAGAGAGAACAATGTTAGTAAAGTGCACCTTCCCAACCAGTATTATTAGACGTAAGGAAATGTAACAATTTTATAATTTATTTCTAGTATGTTTAAAGTGTCAACTAATATAGTCTGAATCTCAGCTTGGCACTTTTTAATTTTGAAAGACCATGTCAGTAAAAAATTAATACGTTAATTAATTGTTATATCTGTCTCGTCATTTTTACACTTTTCCCTTCCTTACTACCCCAACTTGTATAAGCGCTAATATTTATGACAATTTCTTTTTTATAACGCCACAAAAACTTTCAAGTCGTATGTTGTAATGGATCATGATGTAGACTGTTTCTTATACCATGGCACCTTGAACATGTATGGACCAAAATACAAAAACACCTAAATTTAATTTTTCAACCGACGTATCAAGTGACATGCAATAAAATAATGTAAATACAATAGAATTAATAATAATGAGAGTATATGAAATGTATCACAATCAATTAGATTACCTAAAATTCCAGAAGCGTCGACTATTTACAGTATAATTCTTGTGCTTCTTTGCGTAAGTATTGCCTCTTGCATTTCCCAACCAAACATCGTAACCTTGTTTGGCAAGGATGCATGCTGTAACGTATATAAATTATTTAATTGAAATATTACAAAAAACTTCAAGTAAACAAGTTTATTGTGAGGGTGGGAGAGTGAGTACCAAACAAAAATTGATTCGACATTTNAAGCAAGATTTTTTGTTTTTGGTTTTCTCTTGTTAATGAGAAAAAAGAGCAATTCAATCGCACTTTTATTGGATTGAGTATGAGAATTTCTAGAAAAATATTATGAGTGGAAATTCCTAATACTCAGTAGGTACTACCAAAATTTGCAAAGTGTAATCATATTTTTTTTTTCATTCTAGTACAAAATTTCAATTGTCAGACTCAGTATAGATTTAGATATATATTCATGTTTACTAATTTTTTCGCAGCTTTATTTTAAAATATTGCAGTAAAAATTGGCAGTTTTTAGATATCCTTGCATTAAAAGTAGTTTTTTTAATCATATATTTAGTATTTCTTCTGTAACTTTCATGTGTTACATTAATGTTGACTTTAAAAAAGCCAATCTAAAACGTTTCCACTACTTCTTCTAAAAACATGTAGCAATCAACGTAAAACACTTGCTTGTTCTTGAACAACTTAAAAACATGTTTTTAATTAATACTGGAAAAGCAATCGTTTTAAAAATACGTAGCTATTTTTGAACTCATATTTATCGTATAATTAAAATGACATTTATTGCTGATTGTGTGGTAACTTTCAAAGTAGCTAACTTTGATGGATGTGTTTTGAAGAAAATTCACTTAGTAATGAAATAATAAACATTTTTTCAAGTAACCAATAGACTAATTAGTATGATCTTATATTTATCAAAATAAAAAATGTACTTTTGAAATAGGTTTCATATTCATTTTTATCGATTCAAATAATGACTGAGTTATAAATTCAATAAATGAATCGAGTTCTATAATTTCAGGTTTTCAAATAATGTATGGGCTGATCCACCTGTAAAAAATATAATTCATTTCGTTGAAAAAGAATGTACAGTTTATCAAAACCAACGCAATATTATACCAAAAGAAAATTCAAAAAGAGGGTCGTGCCAAGTACCCGATTTAAGGAGCTCTTGAAGTAATTTTAGTGTGTCACATGAAAAAATTAGCTAACCACAGACGATGCTCGGTTCTCCTCCGTGTAAATTACAATATTCACTATCACAAATACGAAATACAAAACTTCAAAAAAGTAGTTTACTTATTGTTGGCAAACAAAAATTGTAAATCATGTGAACTGAAACAACTAATTTTTTAAGAAAATGCGATGCAAAAAAATATTACATAACTATTTTTTTCACGTACCTTGTTTCCAAAGCTAAAGTTTGTATTAAAGATATTAGAATATAATATAAATCTCAAGGTCTAGTTGGTTAAAACAAAATTATTTTGTTATAAATTACATTGTCTTGACATAATGTACCATACTATAAAGAGATACCGATGTGGTTGAGGTAGGCCATAAGTAAATTAAAGTAACATAAATATTTCTAAAAAATTAAATGAAAACTAACGGAAGGGCAGTATTTGTTTACTCCTGCACTGGCTGTTTGGACGAGCATTAACACCGATAGTAGTAGCATTGCACTGGTCAGCTGGACTTTTCCTCCAACCTGTCAACATACATTTAAATAACGACGTCACACATTGATTGTATTACGTTGATGTCAATCATATAAAATTGACGATACTGAACAAGGAGATTTTTTATGCATGATACACTTAAAACTTACCAGATACACCATCGTTACAGCCAAAAAATTATGTATTCACTTTGTTGTCAAAACACTGCACTCAATAGAGATGCGTTGAAATAGCCAATTGATTTGTATTCCTCCTAAGATGAAAGAAAGGGATGGTATACATGTCAATTCAGAAAATACATCGTTACTGTCCTCTTCAAGCAATTTTTTATAAAAATAAAAATGTATAAATTTTAGAACCAGACGTGGTTATACCACATGGTTTAAATAAAGAATCTATTTATCTATTTATACATAAATACGTACTTGTCGGTGCCAGTTAAAAGTTGAATAACGTTTTTTAATTTTTCTACGAGTAGTATTAACTTCCGTTGGCAAGAAAGTCTAAATAATTATCGATATATTTTGAAGTCAACTGTTGATTTTCATATTTATGCTTCAATAGTCTGGATTGTAATGTGCGTAATAATAAAAATGTATGAGATTATTGGTTCACAGTGAATTCAATACGAGAAACATAAAAAATAATATGAGCCTCATTAAATGTACACGGAAGAAGGTTTGCAAGAGTAAAAATGCTAGTTTTCAAAATGCAACTATTCTCTGTGACTGAATGAGAAAAAAGAGCAATTCAATCGCACTTTTATTGGATTGAGTATGAGAATTTCTAGAAAAATATTATGAGTGGAAATTCCTAATACTCAGTAGGTACTACCGGAATTTCCATAGCATGGTGGTTTTTTTTTAAATTCTAGTTCAAAATTTTAACTGTCAGACTCATTACACTTCAATACTGATACTTAATCTCTAGTGTGCACTAGTCGCTCATATTGACTGATTTTTTACAATTGTATTCAAAAGTATTGTAGTGAAAATTGGAAGATTTCTGCATATCCTAGTATTAAAAGTAGTTTTTAAACCATATATTTATTATTGCATTTCCCTCCGTTTTTTTTTTCAATTTGGAGAGTTACTTCACCCGCGGTAGGAAAAAATAGAGTTCGCACCTGGACAGCATCCAACCAGGGAAAGCACAAAGAGTCCCTTGAGTCTGGTGTTTGCTCTGGTGACATGCAACAACAGGTACAAAATCTTTTATTGTTGTTTTCGTGTATTGGAATACTGTTAATTCTGCAAAAGCTAAATTAGAAATTTTCCACAATGTCTAAAAACATATACCAATAAACGTAGAACACGTGCTTATTTTTGAGTAACTTAAAGCTAGAAGAGCCAACATTTAAGTAATACATATTGATTTTGGAGATCATATTTAAAGCATCAATGAAATAATTTTCATCACTTATTGTAGGGTAACTTTCAAAGCAGTTAACTTTGGTGGATGGAGTAATAGACATTTCCCTCCATCGGAAAATTTTCCCGGGGACGTCATTTTCCCCATAATATATCCATTCCCCCCAGAGAACTTTTCAGACTTTACCCCATATAGAATAAAGGAATTTTGACATGGAGGGATGTACTTAAATAAACTTTTTTTTTTACAAACTTCACTTTTTTATGATTGTAATGCTAACTTTATTGTAGCTATTTTCAAGTTATATGTCATTGTTACTATTGTTTTTGAAACTCCAAATAACAACTAGCCTATGTTATTTTTCAGTCCAAATTTATTATTATTTTCAATAATTTAATAAATGTCAATTCCAAAAAAACAATAAATGCATATTAAACACAATGTACAAAATTAATATTACCTTGTGAATACAATTACACTTTCTGTGGTATTCATTTTTGGACAGCTGCTGTCTACTTTTTCAAGGAGTATATACGCAGAGCTAAATCCCTACTAACACTTCAGTCCCACTTTACGTGTGATAATAGGAGAAAATAATTACGTAATGATTTTTCTCGAAGGAACAGCCAGTCGTTGGAGCTTTCCATTAATCCGTGCTGCAAGTAAACGGGAGTTGAATTTTTTCTACCAGCAATCCGATTTACCGACAAAATATAACCATCTTCTGTTGTTACTTTATGCGTATGTATGGGCTGATCCACCTGTAAAAAATATAATTCATTTCGTTGAAAAAGAATGTACAG